ATGATAGCTCAATTTTGCAATTATGTCTATATCTCCTCCTACATTTGTCTCTACAACAAAATGAGATACAATATTTCCAAAGTGAATTCTGGGAAACCATCGAGTTTATTGTGCTTACTTACAGAGCAGTGGGTGGGAGTTTACTTACATAGTGTTGTGTCTCCATTTCAAAACTGGTGGGATGATATGGCCTTTGATATTGCTAGAAAAGCATCTCATTCCTCCTCCTCTCATGTCTGTGTTCCTCTCTAAAAATCTCTCTCCTTCACCAAGGCATCTCCTGTGACCTACACCTTCTCCTCCCAGCTCAGGAGTGCTCTTCAACCCTGTCAGCAAAACAGCTTTAGCTTAAATTTGCAACTCCTTTGTGGGAAATTTGTTGACATATTATATCTTCTGAACTGATTATATTGGTGAGACTTCACACAGAAATTTTGTCTTACTATGTGTTTGACTTTCTACATTTCAGATTGTGTGTTCAGCTGTTTGTTGGTATTCTTGATCAAAAGCTTTTATATGTAATGGGATCAATGCATTTTTACGCTAGTCAAAGATGGTATCACAGTAAAATTTCTGGATTTTGGTATCCTTTCGTATGGTTTATGAACTGGCTTTCAGAAAAACACTGTTCTAGGTTTTTACATTGCTTTGACCTGTTTATAAAAACACTGTTTGGGGATTTTAATTTATATTGTATATTTACTGGTCTCTAAAACTATTTTACTAATTAGGAACTTTCTGGATGAATATTTTAAAGATTTATATTGTTTTACAAACATTAATTTATAAAGACTACCCATATGTCTACAACAATGGAAAGAGTCAGCTACTTGGTTACTATCATATATAAATATAGACTTATTTAAAATTCATTTGGGTTCTCTATGGAACATATATTTCCAAATCTGTCTGTTCACACCTTGAGCTCTTTTCACAGTCTGCTAAGGCACATTCCTGACCCACCTCTGGCCAGTATTTCTCCTGAACTATTGTGGGGCAGTAAGGGAATACTGGGACAAATGGGGAAGAGCAGGAATTCCTATACACAAACTGGCCCTCCTCCACCCCGAGATCCCTGGACCACTCTGATATCCTGAAACTCAAGGCAGTCTACCATCAAGCTCTAACCTGACCCCCACTTGCCCCTCACCGCAAGTTTGTTCTAAGGTTTCCTGTCTCCTGAGGAACCAGGCTTCCTGAATTCTTTATCTCCCATTCTGTCTGTGGGATACCTTTTCCTTCACCGACACCATCATGAGGTTTGTTGTAAACATCTATTTGATAATGATTTGCTTGACTACCATGTTTCTATATGAAGGGGTAAGCAGTATCATTGGAACCTCATCTGATTATCCAGCAACCTTTCCCAGCCAGCTGCATGAAATGCTGGCTTAATCATAATCTGGGAAATGTGAAAAGGCTAGGAAGTGGGTCCTTGTGAGATTATAGGGAAAACAATATCTATGCTACATAAAAATTTTCCAGATTGCTGGAGAGATTGATTGCTTAGTATTAAGAACACTGGCTACTCTTGCAGAAAACTGAGATTCAGTTCCCAGCATCCGCATGGAGACTAACAATCATCTGTAACTCCAGTTCAAGGGTATCCAACACCCTCTTCTGACCCCTGGGGACATTGTAAGACATCAGTGCACTTACAGACATGCAGGAAATATACTCATACACATAAATAACAACAACAACAACAATAATAATAATAATAATAATAATAATAAATGTACCTACTCTCAGGTCATTGATATGCCTGTCTGAAACTTCTTTCCTATTCTCTGCAAGTAAACTCAGAAAACTCATTTGTAAGCTTTAATGTAATCAAATATTGTTTAATACTAGTGCTTTAAAAAGGGGGTACCCTTTGATTGATTTATACCCCCAGAGAGTGAATTCTCACAATCTGTGGTAAATTTGTTTATGAATATTAAAACTCATGGTATTTTAAAAAGGAAATAAAATGTAAAACTAAATATGCAAATGGAAATATTTTAGTAAAGAAGATAGATTTATGTATGAAGATTAAAATGGATGGATGGTTCCAGAACAGGAGGGATAAGAAAAGCAGTTGAACAAGTGATGAAGAACATCTGAGAAAGCAATGAAAGTCTGAGCAGTTTTGTTAACAACTGACTGTATAGATATATAAGCGCCAAGTTGAAAAAATGCTTTATTGCTTGAACTTCAGTCAGATGTATGCCTAGCACACCAAATTGATATACATTAGAAAAATATGGGGGAGAAACATTTTGTTTCTTAGGTGACTAGAACAAAATTTGTTAAGAAGTTTGTTTGAGCACTAGGATGTTAAAGCACAGTGTTTAGGATGGTATGCATATCAAGTTTACAGTTATGCAGCTCTTTCTTATGGGAAACTGTGTAAAAATTAATTGTCATCTTTAGCTAATAGCCTGGGATAACACTTAAAGTTACTGTGACAGTCTTTTTAGCTAGGACAAAAAAAAAATCTTTCTTGTTCCTCTCAGGGATCGCATTCAACAAATGAGGAATTGAAAATAAGCTAAATTACTATAAACAACCACTGCATTCCTGGTAGCCAGGTATTACAGACATACAGTTTTATTGTGATAATTATTGTTTCAGCCCAAAAACTTTCAGTCTGCTCCTCTGGTTTATACAGACAAGTACTGGGGTTACCTGCAGCTGTGGTCAAATGGTCAAATGTCCTATGTGTTTCTCTGTGTTTCTCAAACATTAATTTTGGAATTTCTTTTTCATTCTATCCAACAACAAAACATACAATACCTGTAAAATATGCTCTAAGTTGTAATTAGGACACAGGGTGTTTTCTTTTGCCAATAACAATATAATTTGACTCAAGAGGAGCTAAGTAGTTTTGCCTCCCTGAACCCACATGAGTACAATCCAGAAGAAAACCACAATTTCAGTGATGTTGGTTTGGATCCTTACCAGGAGATTTTCCTGTCTATAGGGATGTGATTTAACTTCATCCTTCTGAAAGACCACAAATCAGAATATGAGGGATTGGTAAAGAAAAGAGTCTACTTTTGTTGGAAATAAAAGTCTTCTTAAAATTTATAAGGTTCAACCCTGGCTCTTACAATCTTTCCACCCCTCTTCTGCAATGCTCGCTGAGCTGTGGGTGGGACAGCTTTGATATGACAGGACTTAACATGTACAGTGGAATATATGAGGTCTGGTGGGTGGTGGAGATTGGGGGGCATAGGTGGGGAGAGGGTCTATATTTGATTAAGAACTGTTGCATGAAATGTACAAAAGTGCAATAAAAAATACAAATGAAAAAAATTAACAGGTCAAGATTCAGTCACACCTCTACTTAAATTAGTTGTCCTTAACCATTACAATGTCCAGATTAAGCACATAGTAATTAAAAAGTACCAGACTGGTCTAACTAACCTTCTTGGCTATTTAATGCTCATACTTGGAGGTTTATACTAATCTGATCAGAGGAATTTAAAGGAACAATATTTTGCTCCTTGCCCTCCAAGGTCAGCTAAGTCCCAGGGAACTATGGGGCATCTCAAAATATCCTGTACCTGTGATGAATATCTTATTCAGTGAGGGCATGGAGACACCATTAGATGGACTCTAACTAGTGTGCAGTCTACAAAGAGAGGGTTAATAAAAGGAGAGTCACCTTAATGTTCCCAAGTGAAGCCATGATCAAGCAAGACCTTGTACTTATCCTTGTATAGACGGAACTGGTAAAAGAAAGACTAAAGGAACTAGGGACTATCCCCACAGACCAAATGACCTCTGAGGACCAGATCCTCAATTTACTTTGATAATAAGTAAATACTTTGGGACAACTGGATGATTTTAAACAAATAATTAATATAACTAAAGACTAAATTAATTGGTATATTTCATTAAGTGTCCAAGGAATTATACTTCCCAGACCTTAGACTTAAATTTATTTAAAATATGATTTAAACCATTATTCCTAACTATTGATTTTGTTATTAATAGAAAATGATGCTTAAATGTAAAACCTTAAATCGTGACCTAATTCAACACTATAGTATGTACCTTCACCCAAGAGGAACAAGCCTACTATTTTTCTAAACCATTGTGCCATGGTTAATCAACTGTCTCCAAACATTCTTACAAAATCATCCAATCAGCAAAGCACATGTGACTGCTGAAGCCACTACCTGAGACCAGATCAAGACCATGTTCCTGCTCTATGCCACCAGAAGACTCCTTCCAATGGAACGTGAGCCACTCCTTCCCCCAACAACTCCCCTCATCTTGAAGCAGTTAGAATGGCATGCTATGTCCCCATTCCCAATCTAGGGTCTGAAATGAAGGGAGTCTTCCACTTATCCTTTAACCATAGTCAAAGATTTGGAGGCCCCTACAAAGCGTGGGGAACGAAGTAGCTAAAGAAACTCCATTTTGTCCTGAGCCAGTCCTGACTCCAGGTTGTGCCTGCTTTGGCATCCTTCACAGTCACTACCCTCCCCCAGCAATACATTCAGGGCTTTTCATGACTCTCACTATGGCCTAGAGGTATGACCAAAGAACTGTAAAGTATAACCAATATAACCGCTGTAGGAATCTTTCTGATCTCTATCTGCTCCTGTTATTATGATCTTAGTGGGTTTTGCCTTTAGTAATGCTGTACCCCGTGCTGAGAGATTTTTTTTTTTTCTGATGCACTATGCACTCTCAGCCATGTGCTAATCAGTAAAAGACTCTTTTCCGTTTAATTGGATTATGTGTGTGGGGGAGGGGGTGATCTGTAATCTCACCCGAGTATAACAGATTCAAACAAAACTATTTTTTATTGTGTCTTACTGAAACTTTTGGTTTCCAGAAACCCTCTGGGAAATTGTCTCACAGATTGTTCAATTGTTTGTAGGCCATCCATTGATTATTCCTATCTATGAATGAGGCCTATGAGGTGACTAGGAGCTCAGCATTAGGATTTTTGTGCTCATGACATCATACTATAAACATGTTATGTTAAACATCTGCCTTCTCTTAACACTGAGCAGTTTCACTTTGAAATAGTCATTCCTTGTTACGAGTACTTTTGAGATGATTACATCATTTGACTTTCTTGTGTGTGTTTGTGTATATGAGAGTATCTGTATCTTTTGCGTTTTGGTACCTCTTGAGGAAATAACTTCCAGTATAACAAAAGATATAATGTATTTATTGAAATGAAATTAGGAATGAGGTCTGAGGCACAGTCAGTAAAGTGTTTGCTTTTCAACCACAAGAACATGAGTTTGTATCCCAAACACACACATAGATAGATAAGAGGATCTTACACACCTGTGTTCCAGGAGAGATGGGAGGATCCCCAGGGGTTTCTGGTGGCTGGTCTAATTCAATCAGCAAGTTCCAGCCTCAATGAGAAATCTGTCTACAAAATAAGAAAGAGGCTGATTGAGGAAAATATTTAAAAATGTTTGATCATTGGCACACAAACACACAAGTGCACATGCAACTATACAAATCTGCATACATTTTTTACACATTTAAACATAAACAAAAATAAAATGAAATGTTATTATTACTTAAAAGAACTTCAGCCATAATATGAAGCAAGTACATTTATGCATATAAATGGTGCAATTTGTTACAGTTTTTCTTTTCTCTAGAAGAAAAGAAGAAGCTCAGAATGATAGCAAGAATCTGAAGTGCAAAGAACACATTAAAAGCACCTAATATCTGCAATCCTGATCACAGAGGGGAGATATTCAGGGCAGGTTTTATTCCCATCACTCAAGGTCTCTGGGCTACAGAATCTAGGTTTATCATTCAAGCTCTGAATGCAGTGTGGAGAATGTAGCCCATGATTTCATACCATTAAACCCAATATGTTTTATCTTTGGATGAAGAAGGAGGGCACTGTGAAGATGTATTACTTTGCAGAGTTTTCTACTGAGTTGCTAGACACAGCCCTGGTGTTTCCCAACAGAGAACCATGAGTCTAAACAAGTACTGTGTGGTATGAGTGTGCAACCCTCCCTGCTGTGGGATTCTCGTTCACCATTGCACATCCAATGTCACTGCATGATGGTGTCGTTGATGCCCTTGCCTTTGCTCATCATCATGAACCAAGATTCCTCACCTGTTAATAACACATTGTCAAACACTAATTTCATAAATCTATTAAAACACTGCCATTTTCATAATAATTTCATGTGTTTGTAAGCAATTATTACATAAACTCCCATGTTAAGTTTTCTGTTTCTCTTGGTTATAGCATTGGATCAATGAATGTACCTCCTTTCTCAGCACAACATATGAGCTTCATTGCCTTGATTTGGAAATTACTATTGGTTTATGACACAAAATACATACTATAGACACATATGTAATTTAGTCTTCAGGATAAAAAGAGCACTAAAATAAAGGAGGATTGTCCAAATATTTTAGTAGATATCTTAACATTTATGAAATCTATACACAAAAATACAGTAGTAGAGAACAAGTAAATTATGCTCCCTGTCATTTCTCAATCATGGCTCTGTACTTTCCATCTTCATTTTCTCCTAAAGAATGATGAGTTACATGGTACTTTAGGGAACCATGACCCACCACACTGCTATTCAGTAATGCAGGAAATTTAAGAGATGAGGCCTTGGTAAGAACATTACTAAGAAACATCCTGGACGAACATAACCTTAGTAGAATCCTAATCTCTTCTTGCTTTTTGTATTTGGGCAAAAAAATAATCATCTTTTGCCAGCAAGCATTTACTGTTTCAGGCTAGGCCCAAAGATCAAGGGGAAAACTTGCCATGAACTGTAATTTCCAAGCTGTGAGAAAAATAAACATTTTCTTTTATGAGCAAATTATATAAAAAATTTTGTCACAATAATGGAAAGCTGTCTTTACTTCTGTTCTGGTGTCATGTTTTCAAAAAGCTTACTGTAATCGTTCAGTCAGTATGACAGAAAATCAGTTAACATGCGAGAAAATCATTTGTTCTGGAGAGTTGAATTGCTAGTGATACTCAACATGTAAGCAGAAATTGACATATTATAGGAATAGAAAGAAAAAAAGAGTCTGGAGGCTGAGTGCGATTTCATGAACGAGTCTACTTGAGTTTATAATGGAAGATTACCATGGAGTGTACTCTGATATTACCTATCTAAATATCGACTAAGTATCTGTAACTTTACTTTTCTGATTTTAGACATGGAGATTGCACTAGACTAATACTTATTAAAACAAGATTATTTTGACATGAATTTAAATTAATTGAAATTTCATGTGGATCCATAGGGATTCATATCTCCTTCTGGCTATTAATGGGTAAACCTTATTAAGCAAAGGATGTTTGTATAACACTGTATTTCATAGTGTCACAAAACCACAACTGAACTTCTGAATTTCTCCTCTGCAAGGGGGTTCAAACCAGTGACCCCTGGCAAGGTGAGGATTGGGGATGAGTAAGCATGCCATTTGCCAGCCCAGGCCACCCCCATTACCTGGGGACACTCAGACAATGGGGAGTCTTAGTCAGGCAAACTCATTTATTGCAGGTGTTACAAAGTTTATAAAGACACCTGGAACTCCCCCCCTTCTCCCCTGAGGGTGTGTCTTAAGGATGGTCACGCGCTGATCATGCACTCCTCAGCAGTAGGAAAGTATTCTTCAGGCTTTCAAAGCAAGCCATGCCGGGCCCCCAGTAACTTCCTTTCGGACCTATGCAAGGTGGGGATTTTAAGTCCCCACACTCCTCATTTTCTCAGTTTTCTCTGAAAGTCATCATTTTCTATTTTTGGCTCTTAAGAGGTACCCACGTTTGCCTTAATGTCAGGAGTCTTCCTTATTTTTGTATGACAAATTACCATGTAGCATGGTGATCAAGACATATCTGGATGACTCAGATTTCTCTCAGTCAGGAATTTGGATGTAAGTCATGGCCCAAACAGGTGGGATTAGACTCAACAGGGCAGGAAGCCCTTCTTAGTACATGTGTTTGTTACTATGAGTCAATTCCATGATTATTCAACATGATTTCACTGATGAATGGTTATACATATCTACCATAAATTATTTGAGAAAAAATACATATAATATCACTTTTCAATTCATGCTGTGAGAAGAATTTGATACTGAAAAAAGCCACAGATATGAAACAACATTGAAATAAACAGGCTTATGAAGGTAATCCCAGAATAATCCAAGGAAATATTTGTAATACAATCTATATAATATAAAATGAATAAATACTAGAATATGAGGAATATGACTTAAAATGCAGTTTTAGTTTAATATATATATAAATAAATGAATTATGACTACATAATCAAATGCCCTCAGAAAAATTAGTGAGCCAAAATTAAATAAATACAACATGATGAGCATCTGTTACAAATATAGTATGACCTGGGGCTGGAGAGATGGCTCAGAGGTTAAGAACACTGAATGTTCTTGTAGAAGACCTGGGTTCGAATCCCAGCACCCACATGGGTGCTAACAACTGTCCGTCACTCAAGTTCCAGGGGATCTGACAGCCTCTTCTGTCCTCGTGGGCATTGCATGCAAGGTGCACTTACCTACATGCAGTCAATACACGCATGCACATAAAAAAATAAAAAATAATGAACAAAATACTAAAAAACTAATGAATGTACTATAATGTAAAAGTGACTTTTTAACATACAGAGACATGTGATATGGTGTACCACATTCAAAGATGGATAAAAACATTTCTCACTACCTCAGAAAGGTAGAGAAAGTATGTGACATATCCAAAATTCATTCATAAAGGCAACAGTCAATCAATTGGGAAGTGCATGTGCTAAACCTAAATGACATGAGGAAAAAACTCACATAATCACGTGACCTTGTAAGAATAAAAATTTTTCAAGAACCGAACTGATAAAAATCATGCATATTTCATCAACTTCTGCTCAATTTATAAAATCAGACCATTTTCAAATGGCCTTAGGGGAAATAAATTGAAGAATGCTTAGGGACTGGAGGATGGCTCAGTGGATAAAAACACTGATACACAAAACTGCAGACAAGAGTTTGGACTCCCACATCTAATTAAAAAGGTAAGCACAGTTAACACATGGAACCATAGTACAAGAGGAGCAGAGGACAGAGAAAACAGGATTAGTGTGGTTGCTGGCTAATAGCCGAGTTGACAAATGTCAATGTCCATGTTCTCTGAAAGGACAAAAGCAGACAGAGAAAGCAATAGGGAGGACATCAATGTCTTCTTCTGACCCTCAAAGAGTAGATGATATGCCAAACCCATACATATGTCCACAAATGTATTACACACACACACACACACACACACACACACACACACATTTTATGTACTTTTTATCTTGTTTTGATACAAGGTCTTATTATTTACAACTGGCTGGCCTGATATACACTATGTGGAAGAGAATTACCTGCCTCTGCCTCCCAAGCAAGACCTAGGACAAAAGCTGTGAAGCACCATGCCTGACAGACAAATACAGTTTTTAAAAAGGAAATTAAAATTGACGTTCTTGAAAAAGGCAGTTTAATCTACAAATGGAAAATTGACAATAAACTATGTGTAAAAATCTCAAGAAATATGAAAAAAAGTTTTTTGAAGTATAAAATGAGTTTGAAAAGACCACAGTGTGTATAACAATAATAAATGTTCAGTTTCATTTGAATTCACGCACAGTTTATAACAGACTCATGAAACAACTATATTATAGTCCCATCAACCAGGTTTGTTAGAGTACCTTCTCCTCATGGGACTGAATAAGAAGGATAATTTAAGTGCCATGTTTGAGGTCCTAAGACGCAAATGTGGACTCTATGATTAATGAAACAAACTACTTCAGTTATTCTCCATTTTCAGAATAAAGACTCTTAATGGAGAACCAGCTAGTATATTCTAGCCTATTTTTGAATAAAAATGATTAAAATTTAAAAATTTTAAAAATTTTAAAATTTCAAAATTGTGTTCACTCACCATTTAAAGACTGAGATTACTAGTAAAATATTGCATGTAACAGTAAATTCTTACAAATCCATGTGTTATCATTCATCTAAATGGAAACATTCATTTATCATAAAACATGTACATTTACATATCATTTAGGTTGAAAGCGCTCTGTTTGTAATCATGTCATCAATATGGTCCATCCAGATAGCTATTTGAAGCAAATCTTCCCATGACAAGTTCTAGAAGAAAGTCAGATGCTGCATGTGAATGGCACCAGTGTGCCGCTTCTAATGCAGAGTCTGTGCAGAAATGCACAAAACTCCCTCTTAATTACACTGTTGCTTCACCCTTCCATAGTGATCTAACTTTCTTCCCACAAACCCATGCCCCAAGGGTTTGACAAACTCTCTAGACACCAGTTAATATAGTCTTCATTCTCTCTCTCCCTCTCTCTCCC